GGTGAGCAAATAAGACTGAATTAGTACTAGAGTTTAGGAACAGGATGTAAAGCAGATGCACAATTGGTACCCAGCCAAGGGTGTAAGTAGGGGAATTCCTCTAAGTTGGGAGAAATGTATAGATCTTGTATGAGAGCCTCGTAATGAGATTGGAGCAAGAATGCACAAGGGCACCAAAGCAGAATGATGAGATGAGAACTAGCAAGGCACAAATTCAGAAACCAGGCAGATAGGTAACAACCAGGACCTAAGGATTCTATAGGAACTGAAGGAGAGAAGCAACCACAAAAGTAATTTGCCCTGTGACAATGAAGAGAAGGGACTATAACCCAGCAACTAATGTAAATTAGAGAAGGTAAATCACCGCTATTGGCAATAAAACAAACAAACAAACAAACAAAACGGACAACCTTAAGTTCTGCTTTAATTAGGAAATTTGTGATATACCTCAAGCAATGTCGCCCAAAATCTCACAGAAGTACAGGTACCCAGAAGCGCGTGGTTAAATGGGAATGGAGAGTGTGGGTAGAAGAACAGTGTCTTAGTGAGCAATCAGAATGAAGGACAGAGGGGTTAACCAGGGTACAGAACAGTTATGGAATATAAGCTGTTTTCAACTAGAGCATGTTGGTTGTGGCAAATAATGTTTTTATCTGATGAGGAACTATGAAACAGACGAAAAGGTGCTTGTAACATGTAACATTTTCCTCTACTTTATTCTGCAGAGTGAGAAGTAATGGAGACAGAAAATGGCACAGTGGTGACAGAATTCATCCTCCTTGGTCTGACTCAGTCTCAAGATGCTCAACTCCTGGTCTTTGTGCTAGTCTTGATTTTCTATCTCATCATCCTTCCTGGAAATTTTCTCATCATTCTCACCATAAGATCAGACCCCAGCCTCACGGCTCCCCTCTACTTCTTCTTGGGCAACTTGGCCTTCCTGGATGCATCCTACTCCTTCATTGTGGTTCCCAGGATGCTGGTGGACTTTCTTTCTGAGAAGAAGGTAATCTCCTACAAAGGCTGCATCATACAGCTCTTTTTCTTGCATTTTCTTGGCGCAGGGGAGATGTTCCTTCTTGTCGTGATGGCCTTGGACCGCTATATTGCTATATGTCGGCCTTTACACTATTCAACCCTCATGAAGCCTAGAACCTGCTATGCATTATTGTTGACTCTGTGGCTTGGAGGCTTTGCCCATTCCATTGTGCAAGTGGCCCTTATCCTGCACTTGCCTTTCTGTGGCCCAAATCAGCTGGATAACTTCTTTTGTGATGTCCCACAGATCATCAAGCTGGCCTGCACTGACATCTTCGTGGTGGAGCTCCTGATGGTCTCCAACAGTGGCTTACTCAGCCTCCTGTGTTTTCTTGGGCTTCTGGCCTCCTATGCAGTCATCCTCTGCCGTGTAAGGGGTCACTCCTCTGAAGGGAAGAACAAGGCTATCTCCACATGCACCACCCACATTATCATTGTGTTTCTCATGTTTGGACCTGCTATTTTCATCTACACTCGCCCCTTCCAGGCTTTCCCAGCTGACAAAGTGGTTTCTCTCTTCCATACAGTCATCTTTCCTTTGATGAACCCTGTGATTTATACACTTCGCAACCAGGAAGTGAAAGCTTCCATGAGGAAGTTGTTAAGTCAGCATATGGTTTGTCAAATGGAATAGAAGAATTAGAAAAACAAGAAAGGAAAAGTCGAGTTGAAATTAGTTAAATATTTCTTCATTCATGCATTGAATCAGTCAGTCACTTAGCAAATACTTCATTTATTAAGTACTTCCCATTTTCAGGCACTATTCTAGGCATATGAATGAGACAGGTAAGATTCTGGGTTTTCTAGGTTTACATTCCAGTGGATAAAGAGGGGTTGAACTATTACATTTTATAAAAATCATAGTATCAGAAAGAGATAGTGTTCTGTGGCAAGTAAAAAATAGTACTCTGCTAGAAATTATCTGGGGAGGTGATAATTACTTTATTTTCTGTTGTCAAATAAGGTCTCGTTGAGTGGTGTGTAGCTGATACCAAGATGATTTGAAAGAAACAACCATGCAATTATCTGGGGACAAAAATTCTAGGCAGAGAGGATGACTAGTACAAGGACCTACAGATATGAGATTGGCACATTTGAAGACCATAAAGAGGATAGAATAGCTGTAGTGCAGTTAGTGAGTGTGAAAATGGTAAGAATTAAAGTTAGAGATGTTAGTAGGGGCAAAATCATATAGAATATTTTAGGCAATGAT